CAATGATGTACACCTGAAATTTTTACAATGTTATAAACCAATGTTACTGCAATAAACAAAAAATTAAAAATAAATAAATAAATAAAAAAGAAAAAAGAAAAGAAAAGAAAAGAAAAGAACCAAATAATTGAAAACGAGGCTAAAAACAGTACTTGAACTCTTGAAGACTTAAAACACATTAAGAATCATAATGCTTTTTTAGGATCAAATTGAATTTGACACTCAGGATTATTTATGATATTAAAAATAATAAGAAATTTAAAGTAATAATAATTATAATACTTTAAGCCAATACTTCTCAAAAGTTTGCACTGAAATGTCCCTAATGATAGACAAGAGTAAACTTTGACTTCTCAGCAATCTTATATATAAGGCTCTGTTTTAAAATTTGTGGAAAGTGGTTCATCACCATAATGTAATAAAGATTTTATAAAATCACTTCCTCTTTATTTCTATCCAGTTTCCTGGATGCTGAGGACAATATACAAGTCAGACACCTAAGTACAGTACAATTTTTTTTAATTCATTATTTTATTAGAAATCTCATTTTTTATACGAATCATGTACAAGATATTTATAAACACACATTTACAAAGGAGAAAGCTGAAGCATGCACATGAATAGCATTCACAGTCCCATGTGCAGAGACAGAGACAAGCCTAGACCTTAGCCTTTCTGATTCCAACTTTAATGTTCCTTGTATAGGAAGAATTTGTTTCATATTTTTGGGATGTAATTAGTCTGCTAAGCAACTTTATCAATGACACACCTTTGTTACCAATATCTACAACTGTCTCTTTTTCATTCTCACATAAATAAAAAACAATGTAATGCACTTCAATTAACTTTGCATAGACATTCATAAAAATTTAACAAATTAATCAAAGTAAATCATGTAAACCAGCCAAGCAAAAGACTTGAAAACCCCCAAAAAATTCAAGCTGAAATTATATTTGCCATTTGAGAGTCAATCACATTTAACTAGAGGATGAAATTGATAATCCTTCAAAAATTAGGTCTATAAAACAAATATTTTAATAGTCTTTAAATTCTTATGTTTTAAGTTTATACTATAATGTGTGACGTTTAAAAGTTTCTATATACTTTTGCAATACTAGCTTCATGAGTTGTATATTTCTAGATATCTTACCTTTTTTGCTGTAGAAGGGGGTTCCTTTTTCATACTTCTTAGTAAAAACTCTGGCATGTTATTTTCAATATCCTCACGAGTTCCCTTTTTACGCAAAACTGCAGCCAAAAATGAAATAACCTGGAAAAAATCCCACAACTTTTTCAATCACTATGTATAATGAATGTATCATGATGGACAAAATTTTACTGCTTACATGACTGACTACATAATTAGTGACAATTTGAGTATGTACAAATAGATTAGCTAGGGGAGAACGTAACTTGAAACACTATTATTGGTTTTCTTTATTTGGATTAATGAACCAATGTATAATATACATGTTACCCTTGAATAAAGTAAAAAAAAAATTCTCACATTGCCATTTCTTCTGTGATAAGTTCTACCTACTCAATGAATTCTTTGTTGATTTCATCAGGTGGGACATTACCTTCTTACTTGTTTCTATCGATGGAAACTCTTTCTTTATATCCTCTATTAGAACAAACTGTGTACATTTCTTTTTCCTTGCAGAAAATAAACTCCTTAAGGGGGTAATATTTGGCTCATAAATTTCTGTACTTCTGTTTACCCAAAAAATATAGATGGAATGACAGAATGTTATTTTAAGATAGACTAAGACAATTCATCAATGTACACACCAATTTGAATAACAGCTATTCTCCAAATATCAACTGAGAACTACAAAGAGACATAGATAAAAGGAAATAAACCTCATATAATTAAGAGCAAGAAATATTTAATCAACTGGACTTTGGTTCAAATTTCAGCCTTAGTTGTTTGGCAGCTATGTGAACCTGGGCAACTTAGTTAACCTCTTTGAATAACTGAAAATAGCAAAAATAGTATCGGCAGAGTTGTTTTAAAGATTGGGGAAAAAGTATATGAGATATCCATATGGGGGAAAAGAACTGATTATTACTTTAGAAAAATAAAATATATAAATATTAAAACCTAAAGAAAAAAAATATAAGAGAATTAGAAAAACTATCAAAAAAAAAATACTGTATTGAACACAGGTGTGAATACCTACAATCTGAATCTTGAATGACAGAAGAAAAAGAATGGTGCAGAAGTATCTGAAGACATAAAGGCTGAAAACTTTTAAAAACTGATTTAAAAAAAAGTCAAGGGGCCGGTCCGGTGGCATAGTGGTTAAGTTCACACACTCTGCTTTGGCAGCCCAGGGTTCGCGGGTTTGGATCCTGGGCGCAGACCTATGCACCGCTTATCAAGCCATGCTGTGGCAGGCGTCCCACATATAAAAAGTAGAGGAAGATGGGCACAAATGCTAGCCCAGGGCCAATCTTCCTTAACAAAAAGAGGAGGATTGGCAACAGATGTTAGCTCAGGGCTAATCTTCCTTACCAAAAAAAAAAAAAAGTGAAGCCATATACTCCAGAGCCATTAAGAACATCAAGCCAAAAATAAATAAACAAATAAATAAATAAATAATCCACAAGTAGGTGCTTCATAGAAGAACTCTTCAAAACTTGAAACAAACAAAAAAAATCTTAAAAGCAGCCAGAGGAAGAAAACAACAGATTAGCTACAAAAAAAGCAACATCTTTAGACAAATAGCTGACCTGGCAGCAAAAACAATGGAAGACATTACAATAGCACAATATTTTCAAAGTGTTGAAGAAAATAATAGCGATCTAGTTTTATATCCAGTGAAAATATCATCCAAGAATGAAGATGAAAAGATTTTCAGACAAAAAAAAACTAAGCAAATTCATCATCTAAAGAGCCACACTAAAGAAAATAACTAAAGGATGTTTTCAGGCACAAGGAGAATGATCCTGTATAGCTCAGTGATGCAGGAAAAAATTAAGAGGAACAAAAATGATAAATACATAGAAAATATAAATGTATGTTGACATTATGAAACAAATATAAAATGTCTTGTTGGGATCAAATAACAAAAGAATTAAAAGATATGACAACAAATATATAACAAAAGAATTAAAAGATAAGACAACAAATGTATATGAGTCAGAAAGGGCACAGTGTAGTTACAATTTCTGAGGTCCTTGTGCTTTCCAGGAGGAAATAAAAGTAGTGATTTATATTAGATTTTGATAAGTCAAGGATGTCTGTTATAATCTCTGGGGTAACCACTAGAAGAAAAATACAACAATGTGTAATTACTAACCTATTAAGAGAAGGGTAATACAATAATATGAGATTACCTATCCAAAAAAGAGAATGAAAATGAACATAGATGACACGCAACAAATAAAAAGGAAATAGTAAAACAGTAAGCTAAATCCAAATATATTAGAAGGCACATTACATGGAAATGGACTAAATGCTCTACTTAAAAGACAAAGGTTGTTACGCACATAAAATATATCTACCATTTATATGAAAAACATCTAAAACAAGGGATAGAGAAAGTTGTAAGTAAAAAAATGAGGAAATATAGACTATGCAAACAAAAACCAAAAGAAACTTGATATAGCTATATCAATACCAGATAAAGAAGACTCTGAGGCAAAAAGCATTACTAAATTAAAGAGGTACACTTTAACTTGATATTGATAAAAAAAATTATGGGCCAGCCCAGTGGTGAAGCGGTTAAGTTCGCGCGTTCACTTTGCTGGCTGGGGGTTCCCTGGTTCAGATCCTGTGGACAGACCTACTCACCGCTGATCAAGCCATGCTGAGGCGGCACCCCACATAGAAGAGCTACAACCCTACAACTATGATACACAAATATGTACTAGGATTTTGAGGAGAAAAAAGAAAAAGAGGAAGATTGACAACAGATGTTAGCACAGCCAATCTTCTGAAAAAAAAACAAACAAAAAAATTAATTCACTTGGAAGTTATTTAAAAAGTGTAGATTGTTAAATAAAGAGAGAAAAATTTACTGAAACAAAAGAAGTAGACAAATGCATAAGCACAACAGTAGATTTTGAAATAACTCTGTAGGAACAAATAAACAAAATAATCAGTAAAGATACAGAATATTTGAATAACATGGTTAGCAAACTTGACCTAATAAGCATTTGATAGAACACTGTACACTACTGCAAAACATAGTTTCATTTAAAGTACACAGGAAATATTTACCCAAGTTGACATGTGAGGTCATAGAGCAAATCTCAATACATTTCAATAGACAGAAATCATACAGAATATGTTCTTTGATCACAATGCAGGAAACTAGAAATAAAACAAATATAAGCAGAAAATCCCCAAATATTTGGAAAGTAAGGAATATACTTCAAAGAAGAACTCACAATGGAGATTAGAAACTATTTTGAGTTGAATAATAACGAGTAATAATTACACATTAAACTTGTGTAAACCTAAAGCCATGCCTTAGGGACTTAAATGCATATATTAGGAAAGAGAGGCTTCTAATAAGATATCTAAGAATCTACCTCAAAAGTTTATAAAAATAACAGAAAACTTAATACAAAAAAGCAGAATTATAAAACATGAAAAAGCATACAATAAAAAGGACCAACAAAGCCAAATAATCATTCTGTGAAAAGATTTTAAAAACTAATAAAGCCCTAGAAAATTGATAAAGAAAAAAGGAAAGCTAAGAGAAGAGGCACACATATACACAAAAAATATGTATAGGACATAATAAACAATGTTATGTCAATAATTGTGAAAATTTAGATGAAATGGAGAAACAGAATTTTATCAACACTGACACAAGAAACAAAAACTTTAAATATTCATATAACTACTAAAGGAATCTAAATACATAATTATAAATCTTCCACAAAGAAAACTAAAGGTCAAATAGCTTCACCAATAAAGTCTACCCAATGCTTAAGAAAGACACAATGCCAGTCAAACTATTCCAGGTTTTCGGGAAAGGGAGAACTGTTCTCAACTCATTTTATGAGTTCAACATAACCTTGATAAGAAAACCTGACAAAAATGTTATATACAGGAAATTTGTAAGCCAATTTCTCTTACTCATATGGAAGCAAAATTCTTAAAATATTAGCAAATGGAACACAGAAATATAAAAAAGGAATATATACCAAAACTAAGTTGGGCTGATTCTGAGAATGTAAGTTTGGTTTAACATTCAAAATTAGATATGAGATAGGTATTAAGTAGGTATCTTAGGTATTACACTTAGCTTTCCTGCCTCTTAGTTTCCTTAAAATAAGAATAGGATCATCTATTTTATTACAAGATACTTACATTTTACATAAAGTGGTACATTATTAACTTTAAGCACACTGTGAAAAGTTGGGGATTTATATTTTTATCACTAGAGCAACCATCAAAAAAATAATGCAAAGAAGTATAGTTAAAAAGCCAATAGAAAAGTTAAAATGGAATCCTAAAAAATATCTTATCAATCCAAAAAAAAGGCATGAAAGGAGGAACAGTAAAACAGAAAACAGTCTGTTCAAACAGAAAACAAATAATAAAATGGTATATCCAAATCCAAACATAACAGGAATTCCATTAAAAGTAAATGGACTAAACACTCCAATTAAACATCAGAGATTGCCAGAATAGATAAAAAAGTTGTCTACAAGAGACATATTTTAAATATAAAGACACAGATAGCTTGAAATAACAAGTTGGAAAAAGACATACCACTCAAACTGTAAGCATAAATACTGGAGTGGCTATCTTAGTATCAGATAAAGTAGATTTTAAATAGTATTACCAGAAATAGAGAGACATTTCATAATGATAAAAGGGTCAATTCATCAGGAAGATATAACAATCATAAAGGTTTATGATCCTAATAACAGAGCTTCAAAACACATGAAGGCAAAATTGACATAAGTAAAGAGAGAAACAGACAAACCCACAATCATAGTAGGAGATTTTAACTTCCCTTTCTGAGCAATTAATACTAAAAACACCATAGAAAATCTGAACATTATCAATTATCTTGACCTGCTCATTGATATTTATATAACACTATATTCAACTACACTACACCCAGAATACATATTCATTTCAAGTGTACATAGTATGTTCAATAAGAAAAGCCATAGAAAAACTCTCAATAAATTTTTTTAAATATTGAAATTGTGCAGAATATGTTCTCTAACCACTATGGAATTAGAAATCATTAACGATAAAATAGGTAAATATTGGCAAATCAAACACATTCTTGTAAA